CTTGAGTCAGGTCACAGGTGAAACGCTTGTGATTTTGCGGAACTTCTACAGGCAGTAATGAGTAAGATCCTACAGGTAGAACAGACAGCTGTTATTAGTAAAATAGCATAATTGTATAGGAAAGCACAGAAGCTCAACAAACAATGAAGGAAATACCCATGCTTTATTCACCCGTCTTAATTTGGAAGGATAAAAATTGCTCAAATTATAAAAGAAAAAAAAAAAGGTCCAAATCCCTCCCCAGCCCCATGCAGGCAGTGTAACCTTTCCTTCTTATACTTTTATTTACAGGTTTTCATATGCTTTGAAGGGATCACACTAGGTTAGTTCAAAAGGACACTCAGCTCTGGGATTACACGAGAGAAGAGGCAGAGCTCCAACCTGTGGGTTTGTCTTACTCCTAAAATTTTCTTTAAAGTACCATCTGCAAAATACCCGCTCCTCTGCCAACAACAATGAAAGCCTCTAGGAGACTAAACAACTGGGCACTGTGCAAATCAGTGTCACTCACACTGTCACTTTCTTTACAGAGCTCTTTATCATAAACTGCCACAGGCATTTCTAGCTAAGGCTACAAAGGCACTTTCAAAATGCTTCAGATTAGTTCAGATAACTAACTTTAATGTTATGGAAACACACACACTGCCTGCATACCCTTCTTTCCCTGAATACTCCCAATTTCCATTCCCTGGTTAAAACATATATCCTCCAAGCAAATAATAAATCCATTCTCAATCCACTGCAACAGTGGCAAAGTGACCTCTCTAAGGATACAGGATGCAGTATTCTAGGATACTGCCTGCAGAAAGGCATTTTACTCGAGAACATTCCAATTCCCAGCAACTATTGACCTGATCTCCATAATCCTGCTCCCCACAATACAACCTTCTCCCTGCAAGGCACAATCATACCCAGATGATATGACACAGACATACCCAGACAGAACAGCCAAAACATAAGGTGGGGTTTATGCAGGAGCCTGCACAACAGCAAAGCTACTGCTTCTCTACATTATTCAGCACCTAACAGAAGCTGGGAAATCTTTCACCTCCTGATTTCACTAAAGACACCAAAGAAGAGGAGCCACAATAACTCTGCAACAAACCCAGAAGACAAGGTTTTGTCATCGCTGTACTTGAAGCCGAAACCAGAACTTTTCCAGTCCAAACTAACAGATTTAAACATGAAAACAAGAATTTCATTTTTAAAAGGCACTGTTTTACAGGGTCACAGTAGCCCATAAAAGTGCCCTGTAATGCACTTGTAATTTTACAAGGCTTTTACAGGTTGTGATTAATACCAGCCTTCCTGTCCTATTACATAGCCAGCTGAAAGAAGACTTTAAATTAAACAAACAATACTAACTCAGTAAATCTTACAAGAGGCCAAGATACCACAATGAGAACTACACCAAGACAGTTTTAGTGTTAGCTTCAGAGAAACCCACACTTGCAGTGGGTAGCAAACACTGGCACCTAGTGGTTCACGGATGTATCTTTGCAATGCACCACTTTAAAGGGTGTATCTGTTTCTTTATTTGCATGTGAGCGAGCAGCTGTGTGGTTCCGAGTTACAGGGGCTGGGCTTAAACCACAACAGCTTAGGACAGTCTTGAAACAATCCAACATAATAATAGACATGTTGCTTGTGTTTTGATTTAAGGAGTAGTGGATAAGCACATACAAGTCATGTCTAGCAATTAATCCTTAAACAAAACATTACATGAAGAACCATCACACAAAGAACAAGGCTGAAGGCAGCATTAGAAGACTTTGAGCCACAAAGCCCAGAAGGAAACACAGGCAGAAAGTAAGGTGTAGGTAGTGGGATGGGAAGTGAAGTACTAGTGTTTTAAGAAACTCCTTAATTTTGCAGTTTTGATCTTCCAGTCCTGCACAGAACCAGAGGTGTGAGCACAACAGACTCGAGTTCTCTTATCAGATTTTCTTTCCAAGCAGACAAAGTAGTTATGCTCCAAAAAATACAAGGGAAGGAATATTAAAAACAAGTAAAAAAGTCTCATAGCAGTTCACAAGTGGAATAAGGAAGCTGCGATAGGAGAGAGAAGAACAGCTCTCCATAAGACCTGATACAGTTGCCTCAGTGTCTGCTTGTTACTTACCTTCACTGTAGCCTGTGCCTTCTCTGGCACTTTGAGCTCTAGCTTGTTTAACAATGTGAAACTGTAGATCTTTATCTGCAGACAGAAAAGACAGAAATATCACAGAACTTTTACGTTGAGTATTTGGGAGAGTGAGTCTTTATTCCCCAACTTCTATTATGGTATGTTACAAAACGCTGTAGTTTTGTTTACACATAAGGGAAGGTCTGAACTAAAAAAATCATTTGAATCTAATCCACATTTGAACTGAGGGGAAAAAAGAAGTTAAAAAAAAAAAAAGGATTTCTGAGTTACAGGGATATGGAAAAAGACACGCATATATATTGCAGCTCTCTTCTGTATTGTTTATATACCCCCAAATTCTAGGGCCAGCTTTTTCACCTTCTAAGCATGTGTTTTAATCTACTTCTTGCACTTGATGCAAGACCATAGGAAGAACCTGGAAAACAATATAAGAGGAAAAAAAAAAAAGTTCCTCCTTGGATTTCAAAGTGAAAAGTGACCTACACAGCAGAAACACACAGCAACAGAAGCATAGCAAGAGTAAAATAAGGCAAACTACAACGGTGAGAAAATAAACCTACTGACAGAAACACCCACGAGTTTTAGGATGCCTGACAAAGCTGACAAGGCATTGGGGTGTGCTACTGCCAAGACCTAGACTCTACCCCATGGGGTCCCCCGTAAACCCCATCCTAAACTTCCCCCAGTGACCTCTCTGCAGTGTTATCCCCTGACCCTCCCTGAGGGTCTCCCCTCAGCCGCTTATCCTCTGTTTCCCCCTGGGCACCTCCCCTCATTCTCCGCGCCTCCCCTAGGGTGTCCCCCGGGCCTCCCTCAGCCCCAGCTGTCCCCACCCCGAGGCCCCCGTTGCCGCTCACCCATGGTGACGGTGGGAACCTTCAGGTTTTCGTAGAAAACGCTGGAGTCGTACATCTCGGCCTGCGGGACCAAGCGCCTCAGTCAAGGTCCGGAAACGCCCCCAGGGACACCAGCTCCGGGCTCTGCCGCCGAGTGACCCCGAGCCAGAGGGGACCCCCTGGTGGCACTGCCGCACAGCACCCCGGCCCCGTGCCCCTTCCCGCGGCCCCCCCTGGCCGCCCACCTCCTCCTCGGCAGAGTAGCCCATCTTGCGGAGCCGGCAGGACGCGGCGTGCCTCTCCAGCGACGCCGAGGGGACGCGATGATGGACATCGTAGGGGCACGGCACCCGTTCCACCTGCAGCGGGACACGGGTCAGAGCAAGCCCCACTGCCCCAGGCAGAGTCCGTCCCCTCCCGCTACCGCCGCCTTACCATATCCCCGAGCCACACCGCAGAGCGCGCCGCCATCGCGGAGCGGCGCACAGGCTCCGTCACCACGGGAGGCAGAACGGGGCGCGCTACCTTACGTCACATCCGGAGAGTCGTGACGGCAACCATGGCCGGAGGGGGTGAGAGAGCGCCGCCTGCCGGCGGAAGGCTGCAACGGCGGTGCGGGAGGACCACCAGTTCCACCGCCTTCCCCGGCTGCCGGGAAGCGGCCGCTCGGAGGGGAGGCCCGAGATCGTGCTGCGCGAACCCGCCCTGTTTCTGGGGGGCAGCGGGGGCGGGAGCCACCCCTCTAAAGCACAGGCCTGTTAGCGACGGGGCAGGGGGACATCAGCTTCGACGCCACCGATCGCCTGCTTCCCTCTTGCAACAGGAGGAAGCAAGGAGGCAGCCGTTCCAGCCACGCGCTGTGTGAGTGGATCCGTAAGGAATACACTACACACTGCGGGGCCAGGATGTGTGATTCCTCCCAGCACCCCTCCCGAGCACAAGCAGCACAGGCGTCAGTGCAGGGGGGGCTGCATGACTGCAGCATGCCCCAGGGACTGCTGCCCGTCACTGGGCCAAGATGGTGAGAACCTTTGCATCAGAACTCAGTAAGAATGTAGCATAGGATGAAGAAACAGCTAGTGTCCTACAGAATAACTGTCTCGTGATTGGCATTTGTGCTTGCCTGTTTTCGCTGTCTATGAGAAAAGCACATATGACTAGAAGGAAGAGTGGGTTTAACAAGGCAGGGTGGGGGAGGCAGCACGACAGATGTTGCTGCCAGGATGACTCTTGTACATCTGCTTTCGTTAGCAGATTACAACCCTTTCTCTCCTGCGCAGTGAATTTGGGACTCAGCTGGAATTTCAGCCCTTTGAGAGATTTGCTGCCTCTAGCTACATTTGCCTGGGGATCTTTGACTTCACATGGTACAGAATACTTAGAGCGGAGACTTCCTTCCCAGCTGCCCTTGCAACTTAACCTGTGCTGTAATAAACGGGAGGCAGGGGGCTCCGGCACCCCGGTGGTGAGACTGATGGCACTCATCTCAGAGCAGCTCTGCTCGTTTACCTTTGTAGTGATGCTGCCTCTCCTCCCTTGTCCTTAGAGCCCACGTGTCAAACTCATTTCCTCCAGGGAAGAAGATGTGGTACCCAAGCTGGTAGCATGGGCGTCACTCAGCAAAAGCTACTGTGAACTAAAGAGAGGTTTTGTAAAGATGAAGCACATAGACACTTGAATTTCATTTTTCTGTCACTGCTGCTATTAACTCCCTGCTGTCTTAGACCTCAGCTAAGATGCTGCATGCAAAATCTGTGGCACAGATTCAGCTGAATCAGCTTCACTGTCTGCAGGGACATGAGGTGAATTTCTGTAGCACACATAAATCAATTCATAGAAATACTCTTGATGACATAGTCAATCCCTAACTCACTTCTGGACCCTTGACCAGAGTTTATTTTCATCATTTGCTCCAAGTTCTAGTTTAATTCCATCTTGTCTCAAAGCACTGGTCTGGAGCAGTACAGGTGCTGATGGCAACCAGGGAAGTCAAGAGACTGCTCAGACTCTGAGGGGAGTGCAGCTGATTTATTCCTTCAGCTGTGTATCACTCAGAGCCTGCTGCAAGTCCTTGGCTCCTGGATCTTTACTCTTTTGTATGTTAGTCCAGTGAACAACTGCAGCCTAAGGTGTATTTTATGAACTGCAGTACAGGGGACAGTTCCAAACTTATATACAGGTGGCAACCCCAGCATCTGTTAATGCCTTATTGATTGCTCTTTCTTTATCTCCACATGATGTCTCATGGATTCAGCAGATTTAGATCAGTTTATCAGGTTGGTATCATCCTTATCTTTAAAGATAAAGCAATTGAAAGCTTGGTGTTGAACCTGCATGACAGATTTCTATGGAAGCTATGTAACCATCTGTGCTTAAACAAGACGTATCGCTGCAGGAATACTGATGGAAAACATTCTCACTTGACAGAACTGGGAATTCACCATTAAACAGGCAGAAATAAACCCGATGTCCTCTTGCACAATGGAATTTTAGTATATGTGGTTTTGAGCTTGCACAGGTCTTTCTGTTTAAGGCCTAGCACCTTCACAGTTGCTGCACTGTGATTCTCAGTCCTTTGCCTGATCCTTCTGCCCTTTCTTTGCTTACCTGTCATTTCCTCCTGGGTTGTTAATGGCCTTGGATAGGCACAGTCTCAGTGTTCATTTATTTAACACCCTCTGTAATGAAGCATAAGCCCTGTGAAGAATGAGAACCTCTTCCACACATTTTGTCACAAATACTGCCAAGGTGGAAACCAGGTAGACCAAAGTGTGGCCAAAGCTGTGTAACTGTGGAGTCTGGTAACTTTTGGCTTGTAACTCAGACCCTGCTTGTCTTTGCTGTACCGGTGCCCTGCATGTCACAGGCACGAAGATCCTCCCAGCATGAGGCTGCTTGTGCTCATTGCCAAGGAAGCACAGAAGAGCCTGGGGTTTTCTTCTAAGAGCACACTATTGATGCCCAATTGATTTGCAGTTGACGTCTGCTTGAAACTGATAGATAAGAATTTACTCTGCTTGCTGTCTCCCTGTGTCAGTCCTCTTAGGGAATGTTTCCAGCTGAGTGCTTGAGGTGAGGTTGTGTAACGTGTTCCAGCCAGGAGCTTGGGTGTTGCCTTAGCTGCTGAGCAGAGCTGTCCCATCAGGAGTTAGCTCCCTGCTAGTGAGAGAGCCCACACTGTGCAGAGCCAAGCATCATGCAGCAAGCTGCAGTGCTTTGTGACCAGGGCTGTAAAAAGCTCCCACCAAGGTCAGCCAGCTGATGCTGACAAAGAAGCAGTCTGACATCAGGAGTAATCCAGTATAAATGCACATCCCTTGTGGCAATACCCACAGGTACTCTGCACTGCACATAGGCTCAGGCTGCAGCCCCAAAAGCATCCTCACGAGGGCAAGGGTACGGGGCCTGGGAGAGGCATGAGGGAGGCTGGATCAGGGCCTCTTTTGTCAATGTTGTATCCAGGATTTTCGATGAAGGTGCTGGGTGTGTTCATCATAGGTGGTCACTTAGCAGTGCTGCTTCTCTGGGAAGGTCTGAGAGCAGGGTCTGAGTGCCCAGTGGGCAGAGGACAGCAGGTAACATGTGGCCACCTCCAAAAATACATGCTTTTATTGCCTCTGCTTCCTTTTCCACAGTAATAGGTCCCCACCCCAGGGCAAAAGCTAATGAATTAAGTGTTTGTTAATTTGTTATGTGGCTGAAAGGTGTTAGCGATATTACACCTTCCTCCCTCTGTGACTGTATCTAAAGCTCAGCAGCAGATGAATGCTGCTTCCTGAGTTGCTGTCCCAGCTTTCTGACAGACCTTTGTCCTTGGGTTGCTGTGGCCCCTGCCTGGTGTGTGTTAATAGGATTGTATTTCCTGAGCACAGGGAACCTGCCCAGCTGATCACCTGCCAAAGATCAGCCAGAGCAGGCCATCTCCTTGGTGCCCATCCATCCCTGTGTCAATGGGACATGTGGATGTGCCTTCCAGGGACAGATGCCATCCCCTCCCTTTGTGCCACCTGCAACCTCTGAAGCACCTCAATGCTTCCATGTGAGCCAGCCAAGTCCCAGCCCTGCATCACTGCACCACAGCCAGCTGGAGCTCTTCCACACTCCAGCAGATGAACTGCAACACAGGGCAAGGCAACAGGGAGCTGAAACAGCACAGACCTTACAGCACGCTCTGCACTTGCACCACTTCTAAGGCTTCAGAGCAACACCAAACTCGTGTGTCAACTGCATGTTTCAGTTGGTGCTGAAGCCCCCTTGCATTTGCCATGTGAGCATGTGCCCCATTGTGTGTTGGTACAGGGAACTTCAGCCCTTCTCCTGGGGACCCTGTGTATGCCCCATGCGTGGGGTCAGCAGTCCATGTCTGGACACATGGATTAAGCCACCTGCTTTTGCTGCATATGCTGTCTTGTGCAGCTTTAGAGGTCACTTTGAGAATGTGGCCTATAATGTTTAGCACTATTAGCACCATGAACAATGGCAGCTATACCTAGCCATTTCTTCTCACAAGGGTGAAAACAGCAGTATTACTTTAACCTGAAGCAACATTTCAAGGGAAGTCCTGGACAGGAAGGAGAAACTTACTCGCCTGAAACGATTTATTTGGAAACAAGAGTCAGCAGACACAACGACAGGCCAGGTTTTATAACAAGCTTAATATTCTGGGTGTGGATTTGCAAGTGCTGCCAACAAGCATCCTTCCTCTTGCAGGAGGATTAGCACAGGAGATTACAGATGCCCTTTGAAGAGTTTGGCGTATGCTCAGATGATCACACCATCTTGGGCTTCCCAAGCACATGGAGAGGAGAGAAAGAGAAAGCAAGCACAGGGGAGAAACAGAGATCCTGCTCAATAGTTGCCAACAGGGAAAGCACAGTGTGGCTTCAGCTCTCACAGGGGCTCATAATTCAAGATCTCTGTGTTTGCTGAGCTCATCAGTGATGGTATTTCATCAGCTCAGCACCAAAAGTGCACCCCAGCGACATCACATTTGGAAGCTCAGCCTCTTGGCTGAGACACAAAACAGAAGTGTTGGTTGCTTGTGGTCAGAAAGGGTTCTCAGGTGTGTGTGTGTGCCTGAATTGCAGCATCAAAATCCATGTCCTGGGCAGTTTCTCTTGACTGTACACATACACTGTGCTGCTACACTTTTACCTCCAAACAAGAAATGTTCCCAGCCAAGCAAAACACCCCATTTTGCTCAGCCCATCGTTCCTTTTGCAGTTCTGAACCACCCTTCTGCACGTCCCCTAGCATACACTTTGTCTCTCACAACAAGGCACTGACTGCAGTGGAAAGGAAAAGCACCCCCGTCACCCACTTCAGCAGTTGTCTTCCATCCCAGCACACACAGCACCCTGGCACACAAGTGTGGATGAAGAATAAGGTTATTTTAACAGTTGTTTATTCCAGACACTGAGGCAGAACTTCTTATGTGCTGTTCTTCATGTCTGTCAAATGCACTGTGCAGTGAAGTGTCTCACCTCAGATATATCTGCCACCCACCACCGCAGAAGGAATATAGAAACACTAATAGGACATATCTTAAGACAACAGCCCTGTTCACATCAGCAAAAGCTGTTAGCAAAGCAAGAGCATGTCAGTAATCAATTCAGGGGCCACCTGGTACATACAGAGTCGTAAGCTGTGTGAAAAGAGCTGCTTTAAGACTACGTCATTTAAGCTGCAAACTCAAACGTAGGAAAAGCCAGATTTGTAGCTGAGGGTGCAGACACCTCTCAGGTCTGCAGTGTGGATGGAGAACAGCAGTGCCTTGGTGGGTGGGAAGCAGATTGCACCCATACATATTGTATGTGGCAGTGCCCTGGCAGAAGGAGCTGAATTAATACGTCATGCACGCGGCTGTGAATTACAGAACTATCTATAAGGCTGCTGGTCAACAGGATTACTTTGGTCTATTCCTGTCTCTGGCAGCAGTCTGGATGGGTACGGCTGTGATTACAAGCAGGATAAGCAACAGCCCACGGCTGGAAGGGTTCCTTCCAGAAGTCTGTGTGGCTGCCTCGGGGGGATTTGGAGCTGTTCTGCAAGCCTGGAAGACTCCCCCTTCTTGCTAAAGAGGAAGGATATATACATGTCTTATAGAAATGGAGATGCAGTCAGGGAAGTCAGGATGTTTTAATTCGGTCTTGCCTTTCCTAGGCTGTAGGGGGCTACATAGGAAACCAGATGAGGAGTCAAGTAGCAAAGCTGATTTAAACCAGATGCTTGTGCAAGGTATAGCAGTGTCATCCCTGCTCTTAAAGTTCCTCACTCGGTATTGGAAAAAAGCAGCTGCTACTGCATACCACTGAAAAACGTGAGGTCCTGCAAACCAGGCTTTGTTTTCTGGTTGCAGACATAAACCTCAGAGCTGAAGATTCAGGATCCCATTCCCTGATACCTGCACTTCCCCCTGGTTCCTCATGGGATTGCTCAGGTGTTATCACCCAGGCAGCAGCTGCAGGGCGAGAGACAAAGAGCTCCTTGGCTACGTCGTCTCCTCACACTGGGATCTGCAGGAGCAGCAGTGCAGCAAGTTGTAAACACACAGTTCCTAAAACAAGCCTTAGCTGTGGCTATTCTTGCCGATGGAAAGCAAGCCTTATTAACAAGGGTCGGTGCGGTTTTCTACCCCAAGAGCCTGTGGTGTAGAACCATGCTTCAGGTTGCACCCGCGGTTTGTTGCTGCTAACAGCCTGCTCATGCTGATAAATGAGAAGGTTACCACCAGTTTCACCCAGTAAGTGATACTTAGCATAGGAGCCAAATGCCAATCGATCCCTTCTTAGAAATACCAGCTGCCCTCTGCAGCTGCAAAGGGCAAGGGGTGGTGGAATTCACCAGGCACCTCAGGAGGCTTTGGCAGAGAAGTGGTTTATGTTATGCACAGAGAGAAGAGCGGAGTGAAGTTTTAGGATGGGAACAGCTCTGGGAATGCTTTCCTTGCCACAGCCCGATACCAGACGGGACTGTGAGAACTACTGTGAAGGCCTGCAGCACCAACTGGTGGCACAGGGTGCACAGAGGTGCTCCCTTTCCTCAAACAAAACACCCATGGCTTTGTCTTGGGACCCCAGCTCTTCTTTGTCCCATCCCTGACTGCTGCAGGCAGCAGGAGATCTATGCCTCACTGTCTGGGAAAAGTATAGCAACATTGATGCAATGATGTCTCAGTAACGGAACAGCTGCACAACCACTTTCCTCAGCGTCTGGAGGGCCCCGGTCTTTACATCACTGGGGTAGCCATCAAACTCCTCCCAGTACAAACCTGGAGCATGTCCTTCACCCTGCTCTTTCCGTTGTATTTGGAGTTTTCTTTGCCAGCCCCATAAGGGACCCTGGAAACCGTCCCTGTCCCATCAACTCTCTTCTCACTCTTCTGCTGTCCCAGGGGCCCTGCAGAGGCTCCAGAAGCAGACAAGGATGGCAGAGGCCATGGCTGCAGCAGGTACCTACAGTCTGGCTGTAAGAGGGTGGCCAGGAGAGACTCAGAAGCTCTTCCAAGGCTTCCCAGCCAGCCTGAGCCATGCAGTGCCCTACTCCTGCCAAAATGGAAGTGCTTCCAGGCTGACCTCATAGCAGCCTTCCAATACCTGTAAGGGGCCTACAAGGACACCAGAGAGGGACTCTTCATCAGGGACTGTAGCAGTAGGACAAGGGATAATGGGTTTAAACTAAAACAGGGGAAGTTCAAGGGGTAATGGGTTTAAACTAAAACAGGGTGGTGAGGCACTGGAATGGGTTTCCCAGGGAAGCTGTGAATGCTCCATCCCTGGAAGCACTCAAGACCAGGTTGGACAGAGCCTTGGGTGACATGGTTTAGTGTGAGGTGTCCCTGCCCATGGCAGGGGGGTTGGAACTAGATTATCTTAAGGCCCTTTCCAACCTAACTATTCTATGACTTAATGACATTTCCATTTTCCTGCTTTTTTTCCCCTCCGTGGCTATGAAAAAGGTACACAAGAAGATTTCAACTGGAGGAGCTTGTGCCAGGCTCAGACTGAACGCACCATGGGACAGACAGAATGGCTGTACTTGGACAAATCCCACAGCAGTAACATGCCATAAGCAATTCTGCAAATACCCTATTTCCTGCAGCCAGTGAGTGGACCTTTTGTGCTTTAAAAGTCTAACATTTCAAGTTAAGATCACTCCTGCGCTTGTTGATGGTTAGGCCTATTGCAACATTATTTCAGACAGCACAGAGGATATTGGAACTTGTCACCTTCTCCCTGATACTTTGTTTTCCTCCTCAGTCTGAAATGTGAATTGTTTAAGCCCAGAGGATTTCACAGGGCTCTTTTCGTTATGACAAAATGACAACAGAAGAAAGGCAAGGTTCCTTCAGCTTGGCATTGCTTTTTGTTTCTGAAGTATTGCTTCTAAAGATCTTCCCCACAGTAGCAATTCCCCAGTCCAACATTCTCTAGCTCTTGCTCAGAGTCTGAGATCATAAAAAAAGTCTCAGAAACAAACCAGGCCCCCAGGTTCATGTGCCTGGAGAGGTTTTTCAAGAGGAATTTTCTAATATCTTTTTGTTTCCCTTATACTTCTCCAGCCTTGCTCATGACCTGTATGAGAAGGAAGCCAGAGCTTCTTAAATTAAAGAGAAAATCTCCAAGGAAATAAGGTTTTTTTTATATATAATATTATTTATGTATGTATTTTAAAGGTGAATACTGTGTATTTATACATATGTATGAACATGTGTGCATATAGGCATAAAAGATCAGCAGTATGAGTAGTCTCAATATTTTCAGCTGTTCTGTCTAGCTGAATAAATACCAGAGGTCACTTAGTAGGATGGCAGTAGAGGCTTGTAATCATTGCAGCCTTCTGCAGGTTTTACAGGCTTACCTGCAGAAGCCTTCCAGCTTTGGAGAAAATCACATGCGCCCCACCTCTTTTCCACAAAGCCTTGTAAATTCAACAATGTTCTTCATCATGGGATGTTTTCAATGTATTAGGGAGGGGGGAACAAGTGCACTTTGATTTTCTGCAAACAACCCTAATTTAAAATGAACTAAAGGGTCTGTGTGAAACCAATCAAGCAAAGAAAAAAAAAAGTGAGGTGGATAACAGATGGTCCCACATTTACAGGAAGCTCTGAAAGGAGTTCAACCAGACTAAGCTATTAGAGGCTTCCAAGCAAATAGGCCAAAATAGCTGCTGCTAAATACTGTAGTCACTGTCAAATATCCAAGTCTGCCTGTAAATTAGGCAATAATCTACTGAAAGCAAGACTGAAAAGTACAATCTCCTTACTCTGCATACTGACCATGAGTGCCTTTATGGAAAGCATGCACTGCTGTTCACTTAAACACCAATCGTGCTTGTCCTGTCAGTCCAGTATAGGTGTGAAACCAAGAAATGCCTGGTTTATCTTTCTTATTAGGAGGTAGAGAAATCTGGTTATTTTTACTTGCATTCCTGTATTCACACCTCATCTGAAGATTAAGGCTCTTGTCCAGCAAAATAAGAAATGCACACTTAGCTTCAAACAGACCTTGCTTTGTAGTTTCAGTAACTTCAAATCAATAGGAAGAGACACACGCTGACAACATGTGCTGCAGCATGTCTGGGCACACCCTGCCAAATTCTGGGTGTTCCTACATCCTTGGGGGACCCTTGGGCTGCATGGGCAGCAGCAGGATTCTACTGTGACTGGCTGCACCAAAGGATGAATTTTGGGATTTTGAACGAAGTTTGTAGTCACTGTTTTTTCGTTCTACAGCAAATGCAGAATGGTCAGTGCAATGTGCCAAATCTTGAATTCTCATTGCATTTTTTACTAGTTTCCTAAGGATATGAGGTTACTGTGATCATGCTCACCACACTCAGTACATCGCTGTTTCAGCTCCTTCCCCATATATACCAGTGGCAGAATTTGAATTTAAAGTTGACAAGTTGGAGAAACAGACTGGAAAAGAAATGAGAATGAAATTTTGTCAAGACAAGTGCAAAGCACAACCTTTGGCAGGAGCAACCAATATCATGAGTACAAACTGGGACCGTATATCTAGGAAGTGTTGGAGAAGAGGGTCTGGGAATTACAGTGCACCATAAACTGAACACAAGCCTGTGGCAGACTGCTGTGCAATAGGTGAGCACTACACAGGACTGTATGAACAGAATACTAGTGAACAAGAGCTATAAGTAATCCTGCAAGTACTTCTTATATTTTATTGAACAGTTGTAAGGCCCCTTCAGAAGGTATATGCTTAGATTGGATGCTGTCCCTAAAAAATGAAAGGGATCTGGAATAAACTCATGTCAAAGAAGCTGTGGAAACCCTAATGCCAGAAGCTTGTAGGTACAGATTAGCTAAATAATAAACTGGCAGTGTTTACTCCCGTGCTCAGGCAGATATCATCCTGGAGTTTGTGTCACCTCTGTGGTGACCAATAATAATACACATGTTAATGGGACAGCGAGGCTTTGTGTGCTCAGGCTATGCATGGAAGCCCTTGCTTTGATCCGGTGGTCAGAGCACAGTATCTTTGTATCTGTGTTTGAACTTTAGAAAACAGCATTATCCAGGTAACTAACATCATTGTTCTCGTATTAAGGGGGTCAGAGAACAGCTAAGTGTGAGAGAAAAATCCCAAAATGGGAAAAATCAGTCACCAAAAATCTTCTCTTATAGAAACCTGGGGACAGCATCAGGGGAGAATCTTATGGAAAGAGAAAGCAATGCTTTGAATCACTTGGGCATGTTTTTTTTTTTCCCCATGGAAAGCCTTAAGACAGTAAAAGCATGCTGTGGCAAGCCCCTGTCAATTCTCCTTTCTCCATTTCACAGTTCGTGATTTGTAGGCAATAAGGAGGATCACAATGTTGCTTCTCTATGCAGGCATTGGTGGCAGGGTTCTTTCTTGTGTCCTCCTGTGACAGGTTTCATTACTCCTCTGAAAAACACTGTACAGGTAAAATGCGAAGGTGCAACAGCACGAATTAGCTAAGGAGATTATGCCTGTGCTTTCCCAAATGGAGAAGGGTCAATGGGAGATCATGGACATTTCTGCCTGACCATGCATTGCTAAAAAGGGACTTCTACAAATCCAGGAAAACAGTTTCTTTACAACGTGCCACCCGAGTCCCTCACAGACAGGCTTGGCTTTACCCTTCTAATCTTGGTAGCAGAAAAGAAAATCTGATTGTGATTAACCTTACTTGACAAATGGAGAGTGGAGACACAGAGACAGCAGGGCATGCTGAAGGCAGCAATGCAGCTGAGCAGCAGAGCTGAGGTAAGAATTAAGTCTGACCTGACTGGGACTCCCCTGAGGGGCGTTGCTTCAGGTGCAGGTACACCACCCCTTGCAGCTGTGATTAAACCCATCATAAATAGCCTTAAGAAATAAAGCAGGCTCTTTCATTTCTTGCTGAACCGCATAATTACCAACAGAGTCAAATATTCTTACCACTTCTGCAAATGAGTCAATTATGGATTCCATACTGTGTTACAGTGCTGCCAACGTTTACCCCATCCCATGCTGCTGCACACAGAGCAGCATCCTGGCTATCTAACACTGAAAAGGAGATATTTTGGTAGCAAAAATGAGACTTGGCAAGGAGTACTGCTATTGTGCACATCAGGCTAGAGTGGGGGTAAGGAGAAAAGCAGATAGAAGGGAAAGTGTAATACTGCACAGTATGAGTAGTACTCTGAGATCTCATCTTCTATATATGCAGTAAATAACTTCTAAGTGCTAGTATGAGAGAAGAAATATTCTTTCATATATATATATATATATGCATAGAGTGAATGAAAACCAACATAGACCATGTAGTACAAAGTGAATTGCAGTAAACACAGATTTTTTTCATAGGAAGCAGTGATTGGTTTTATACCTACACTTTTATTAAAAACACTATGGAAGGACTATTTAACTGTTCATCATGCTGAAAAGAAAATAAATGAAGAGTTAAGCACATAGTTTTAAACTGCTCTATGTACTGCTTTATATGTTTTTCACTGGTCATGGTGGGAAGTTAAGCTTGACCTAGAAGAATTGACTCTTACCTATAAGTGGCACAAAGGCTAATGCACAGCTTTTTGCTCTTTCTAAGCTGTGATATGTATCATATAACATGATTTCTTTTTTCTTAAATTGCTGTTTTAATGGTTTAGCTATTTCAAAACATGTTCAACTATTTTGCTACCTTGTTCTGAAGCTCGTTATTTCCCAGCTGGAAATACAGCAGACTGGGCTGGCAGATGGACAGAAAGGCAGAACTGCCATCCCTCAACAGGCAACACCCACGCTTGCTGGGGAATTGGTTTCCTCAAAGGCAGCCGTTCAGTTTTGAAGAAATCTCATGATACCCAGTGTTAAAGGAAACAGAGTCAAGCACTCTAAGATGTAGCAAAACATCTCACTCGCCTTTGGAGCAGCAAAAAAACCTACAAGACATGATAGATTATCAAAAAGTCCTGTCACAAATGAAGACATTTGCCCTCCTGACACTTCATTTTCTTATATTTTAAGCTACACACATTCAGAATAAATGGAAAAACGCACACAGTTAACTTTCATTTTGGCATGATAGCTGCATCAAATGTTTGACACAATGGAGATACAAGTTACTCCAGTGGGGAAGTGAGGGAAAGGGAGATGTGTGAGATAGTGTCTGGACTAAGAAAAGTAGTAGAGTGGACTTCTAAGTAATTAAACATGGGGATTCCCAAGAGCTATCTTACTTGGTGCTGTCTACAACAACAGCAACAAATAGGGCTTATTCTGATCTTCCTCTTCAGAAACTGTTTGACTACACAACTGGGAAAGTGAGTTTCTTGTACATATGTGCTCTGTATTCCAAAATACACAAGAAAACACTTGCAGTGCATGTGGGACTTGACTGTGAAGTTTTCACACGGGCAGCCAAACGAGGGAGCAGACTGGAGGACCACAGGGCTGGGTCATGAACACTGCTGCTGAACAAGTGCTTTGGGTTTGGCTGCCATTCAGAGCCCTGAAGGGTACCATCCCCTTGCCCCCTCCAAGCGAGCCCTCATTCAGCAGGTGTCAAACTGTGATGACAATCCAAAGAATGGCAATTGCACATTTAAAAATGGACAAATGAACACTGGATCACATACAGCAAAATCCCCCTTCCACTACCACTGACCTGTCAGCATAAAAGCATGAAGACACTACCACTGACCTGTCAGCATAAAAGCATGAAGACTGCTATGCCTTCACCAGCATTAGCCACCATGAACAGAGTTCATGGCTTCTCCAAGGCATTTATCCTGCAGTAAAGTTGGTACTACTAAATTGTGCTAATTATTTATTAATGACAGTTTTTAGGCTACTAGTCAGATCAGTGCTTTAGGGCTTCTGTCTGTCCAGTCAGAAGGCAGGAGCTACAGGCGCTTCAGAGGAGTTGTTCATTTCTCTATGTTGCCAAGCAGTTGCTGGCTGTAAATAACCATTTCCATATTAAAGGAAAGGCAAAATATATCCTGGAGACCTTCTGGGATTTACAGAGGCTCATCACAACGGGATTCACTTGGCAGTCACGGTGGGTTATTGGAGGTGCCCTGCACTGCCTCAACTTTACAAGAAAATAAAGCGTATTAGATTAATTTAATAAATGAGCACTGGGTCCTCCCAGGCAATTTTCAGTTCTGCTCTAGGAAGGCCACAGTCCTGTAGCTGACTGCATTGGCATTTCATGCAGATTAAGAAATGCAGCCATATACTGTGAATTACAGGACTAGAGTCTTAGACTTTAAATCCTTCAGGACAGGAGGCCCCTTCTAGCAGGAATTATATACAGTGAGCAATAAAAGCCCTATGTATGACATAATAATGGCCTACTATGTCTATTCGTTATTATTGATGATAACATTATAGTTTAGTAATGATTTGCTTTATGCCAAAATTTCCCACAAAGCATCTGGCTTGTTGAAGGTGCAAAAAAAGTTTTCCTTTCCTATCCTAATCCGTGGCACAGCTATAGAACACTAAAGCCCTGCAAAAAAAGAGGCAGAACATGGGCACTCTTCATCCTCTTACTAAAAGGCACTTTCTTAGGGGGAAGTTGATTATTAAGAAAGCAATTTAATTCACCCACTTCACTTGGTCTTCTGTGGCTGGCTGCTCCAGGCTGCTGTGTCTGCTCCCAAACTGCCAGCTCCATGTAGCCTTGGTGTTCCCAACTGCTAGAGCTGTGACTGTCACCCACTCAACACAGGCACCAGCCCTGCCACTGTCCAGCAAAACAGCTACATGGTTCCTAGCATGGCACCCAGCCATACAGCTCCCCAGGCACTGCGTGGGTGTGAGTGGAGACTGTCCTGTCTGCATTTAGGCATGTGTTTCAGCTCTCTCTCCTCCCCCAGGCACAGCAGAGGGAAGGCTTGCATCAGCACTACATTCCCCTGAACAACCATTTAAGCAAGCTCCTCTCAGTAGGATTGGAGGAACGGCAATAGGTATGGCTGAGTGTGTCTCGCCTGAATCGGCAGCCCTTGCTGTAATGTCACACAAGGTGGCTCTATGGTCCTTAACAAGAATGGATGGAAATTTTCCCTTTTAGCACTGGCTGATGCAGTCTTGCAGTATTAAAAGAGAGGAGAATAATACCCAGCCAGTGTGGGATTGCATTTGTCCTTGCTAAAATAAAACTCCTCAAGAAAACATGTTTGCATGTAGCAGGAATCTACTTTCAGCCTGAGCCTGGGCTGCCCTTGGGGCAATGCCAGGACACCACATCATACAGCTGACAGTCAACAAAATGGACAGATGAGGCAAGAGTGCAGTGATAGACCCAAGCACATTTCTGGGGTATGGACCCTCTTCATAGAGCTGTAGCTCTACATCTCACCTGCTCACCTCCCTCTCATCTGATCCTTTCAGCAACTGCTCTCAGTTTTAAATAGTGAAAAGGAAATAATCAGTTTTAGTGGGGTTTTTTTTAGCCTTCCCAGACTCTTGCATAAATATTCCTTCAGCAGTCTGAGCAAATTCCTGTATTGTCTTGTGACTCTGCTTAGTGATTCTTCTGCATTTTAGAGCAACTGCATTATCTGTGGAAGAGCACTGGTGGCTCTGTGAGCATTTGTGTTCAAATCCAACACAGAGTAAAATGATGGATTAGCCAAAGGACTGCCTTTCAAAGAGAAACCTGTGGTTTGAAACAGATAAGTACCGAGACCCGCCCCCTAGGAGCAGTTAATACCCAGACTGGACATAACCACATTTTCTAATCCAATGCACTGTATTCTGCTCCTAAGCATGTTGTAAAAATTATAGAAAAGGAAAAAACAGCTTTAAACAGCCATTATAGACTGTTAAGCACACGTTAGCAAGACAGTATTATGCCTAAAAGACAACCAGAGTCCTATGAAAGAACCAGGGGAAAAATAAACAGCACCAGAAAGAAAACTCACTGCTGTGGAAATTAGTCATTAGCAATATGGCATTACTGCAGCAGTTCAGCCAAACAGTCCAATTTGACTGTCAGTCTGCTGATTGTGACCATTTTCAGAATGTGGCTGGTTGTAATAACTCACAGTTCTTTTCTGAACACTGTAGGTTGAATCCTGACCACTCTTAGTATTTGTTAGCAGCAAAAAAAATCATTCTTTAATAGTAAAAATAAACTGCTGCTCATGAAGTTTCTTTAAGATGGACCTATACATTATTTACTTACATTTTCAATAGTATCCTAAATTAAGGCTAAATGTTGTTGACTGCATATGATTAGAACATTTGTTCAAGCTTGGTAAAAAAAAAGTGGGCTTGATTAATAAGTACTTGCTGAAATACTCAATTTAATCAGAAACTTCAGGTCAATTGTTCAAATACATCAAAGACCAGGAGAAACAGATTCACTGATTAGCTTATTAGCAGCATTCAAACCTTATCTGCTTCTGCACTACAAAAACTTTGCTTTGGTAGATTGAAGAATTTCTTGGCTCCTAATCCAGATGTCATTTTCTCAAGGAGCTTTCAGGAAAGGAGGGCTTGCAGCTAGTGGAAAGGTCTCATCTGTATTTCTAAACAGAACACAAATATATTGTGTGACCTGGGGGAACTCATTAAGCTGTTGGTTACTTCACTTCCCTCAAAGAAACTGAATACTTCTTTTATTTACTGTGGGGATTATTTCAGCAATACCTGTAAACAAAAGAAATCTTCAGTGGAAGATAAGACCCAAGTACTATTTCTTTCCTCTTCAGAAAGTCTGTGTAGCATAACTGTATAAAGTTACATTTAAAACACGTTATAAGATTCTAGAATTTTGCTTCTCAGTGAAGTATATTTTCCTGACTTGGCTCTGTTTGCTGATGTTGAGCCCATGTGTGAGCCCCAATTTAAGGTAAACTCACTGTATCATTGACAATATGGCCACATCTATTTTTAGGATGAGTGTGTGCACAGCCAGCATGCTAAGTTAGTCACGCATAATGTAAACCTCCTTTCCAGCTGCTGAATTAAAGTTACATGTGTAACACCATGAGATGGAGTCCATCACTTTTCTGACCAAGGCCAAGCCTCTAGGGCTGATAAGTGCCTGTGCATTTGATGCAATGTGGCCATCTATAGTGCATTACATGGGAGGCTACACCTCTGTGTTAGTCTCTCAGCTTGTGCCATAATCAAAAGGGGCTTTTTAATGCTCTAAGGACTGTTTTTCAGACACACTCTTCTCTGCACAACTAATAAGCTCAGACAGCTCCATCTGTAACGAGCATATTCTCACTCGAGTATTGTCTCAAGGTACCACTCTGCAAATTTACTTTTCTGGTGCAGTCAAAAATTTGAAGTGAAATCAAAGTGTGAAATAACAGAATGATTTTTAGTACATTTCTAGTCTTGCCACCAGAAAGCCCTGTGCAGTAACAGGAAGAATCACAGAAGAGCTGAGGTTGGAAGGGATCTCTGGAGATCACCTGGTCCAATCGCCAGTCAAGACAGGGTCATCTAGAACAGGCTGCTCAGGACCACGTGCAGGCAGCTTCTGAATATCTCAAGGAATGCCACAATCTCTCTGGGCCACCTGTACCAGCACTCAGTCACCCTCACACTAAAAACAGTGTTCCTTGGTGTTCAAAGGAAACCTCCTGTGTTTCAGTCTGCTCCCTCACAGCTTCTTGTGCCCCTCCTCACTGGCAGAGCACGAGAGACTGAAAAGGCCTTGATCAGGGTGAGTGCTACTGAGCAACAACTAAACATCAATGTGTTATCAGCATTGTTCTCAGACTAAAGCCAAAACACAGCACTGCACCAGCTGCTAGGAAGAAAATTAACTCTATCCCAGCTGAAGTCAGGGCACCAGTATGCCTAGGTCTCTCTTGTACTGAGGAGCCCAGAACCAGACAGTGTACGGGTGTGGGCTCACCACTGCTGAGCAGAGATGGGAGATCACCTCCCTTGATTTACTGGTGATGCTTTGCTTAATGCAGCCCAGGATACCACCTGCCTTTTTTGCAGCACAGGCATATTAATAGTTCAGGATCAATCGGGTGTTCCCCAGGATCTTTCCTGCAAAGCCATTTTCCAGCTGGGTGGCCCCTCAGCCTGTACTGATGCATGGGGTTATTCCTCCCTAGCAGGGTGCAGGACTTGCCCTATTGAACTTCAGAGTTCCTGTCATCCCATTTCTCCAGCCTGTCAAGGTCCCTCTGGATGGCAGCGTGACCTTCTGCCTGGCCCTTCAGCCAGTTCTTCAATCCACCTCACTGTCTGGTCATCCAGCCCATACTTCATCAGCTGCGCTATGACAATCTTTCAGCAGACAGCATTGAAAGCCTCACTGAAGTCTAGTCCACCATTCTACCCTCATCTGCTAGGCAAATATTTCATCATAGAAGTTTATTGTTAAGTTGGCCCCATGGTTATAGAACCCAAAATATTGTTACCAGCACCAGCTCTGTAGCGAATTATTGACCTGTACTATCAGTGCCTTTCTTTATACCCTTTTCCCAGCTTGAGAAGGATATTAAACACCACCTTGGCCCCCGTGCCTTTAATTACAGCCTCTAGAGCTTTCTAATCACTCTTGATACCATTCAGGTTTCCCTGGAAGCATCGTTTATGTCCACACAAAATAACAGCAGGGGATAGTAGCTAGAGAGTTGGAGGACCTGCAGCAGTCCTCCGCAGCATCCCCAGTCCTGGCCCCTGGCAGGCAGCACACCTTTCTAGATGACAGGTCAGTTGAACAGGGGGATGCCTCTGTCCCATGCAGCAGGGAGTCACCCGTTTACATGGACTCACCATTCGTCCTGGGTGACCTTACATGATTTAGGGTCAGGTGTACCAGATCCTTTGCTTGAAGGCATGTCTGGCACCTCATCAACTTGGAGGATGGTGAACATACTCTTCAGTTATGAGTCCTTAGGTGGGGCAGGAACCCACCTCTTGGTGCCAGAAGTGACCAGCTTCCATTCTTCCCATTCTCCAGGAGTTCGCTTACCTTAATATTAGGGTGCACACTGCCTGTTTCCCTGCTGCAGTTAAGGTCTGGAGTTTAAGCCACTGTGTCTAAGAGAAGATCTTGTCTATATCCTTCTTCATCCTCTCTGATGCTGCACAGCCTGCTCACTTCCTCCTGTAACTCCCCCACTTTTCAGCACAGCTCCTCCACGATGGCACACATCCTGCAGGACAGCAGGCGTTGGAGAGAAGCCCCAGGTCTTCCCTGCAGCCCAGGGCTTGGAAGGCTGCATCTGCCATCCAGACCCAGTGTGCATCACAGCCTCTGCCCTAGCAGGGACAGCTGCTTGGACAGCTGCTGGGGAGACTGCCCTGTGGCATGCCACCACCATAGCTGAGGCTGTGACAGCAGCACAGATACAATTGAGGCCCCCTTCCTCATGCTCTGCTGCACAGACTGCCACTTCTGAGAGCTGTGGTCTCTGCCATAGCTCTTTCACAGCTCTCTCCTGAGCACCAGCTGAAGGGTGCTTCACCCTCCTTAAGCAGGGACAGCTGCAACAGGGACTCCAGGCACCCTGGGTCAAGGGCAGCTCATCATGCTCATCAGAAGCTGCTAGAGGTTCCTTGGGCCCATGCCCTCCTGGCTCCCTTTTCCTCATCCTCACCTGGCAGCAACAGACACCCTCCAGTTTCTCAGAGGGTTCCCAGTTGTGCCAAATGGTCCTGGGCCTTGTCTACAAAAGGCCCAGAAACTCCCAAAGCAGAATGCAGAGACTGCTGACCGAACAGCTGCCTCTGTTGTTTGCAGCCAAGAATATCTTACTAAACCCTCCAACACTTGTTCCTGTAGACCTTTCTGCACTCTCTGTGTGTATTAACTCAAGTATGCATTTAATTTGTGTGAATGTCTTCAAAGATATTATGTATATGTATGTAAGTGTATTTGTGTACATGTCTAACATACATACATATAGATTTCAGGCCCCATTCATATTGAGATGTAGGCAGTCTACATCACTGTTTGATCTCCTTGGTATGTTTAACTGCCCATCATCAAGGCTGTGGAGAAACAGTTCTGGAGAGTTTTCTTGCACACCCATTATGTTTGGGACCCAAAAGACAGCTGAGTTTAAACATAGTAGCACAAGAAGAGCTGCACTGCATCAGACCAGTGGTCCATCTGAAAGTGTCCTATATCAGATGCCTGTAGGGGAGTATAGTGGCAGGGCAAGCAGGTATGGGTACTTCCTCAGCTTCCAGAGGCCTGTGCAGAAGAGAAGGTCTCCTTAACTCTCTTTATAACTCCCCTGACCAGCCATATGCTCAGGCTGGGATGAGAGGAATTACTCACAATTTCAGCTTCTTTGACCACATGAATCATTCTGAGTTTACTGACATCCATTAAAGCCAAGTGAGCTAAATGTTTTCTCTTTTAGAGCTCTCCTCAGGGTATTTAATTAAAACCAGACTCCTCACCAAAAGAATTC